TTTGAATAATGATTTTAAGTGGCAATATTACACTATGTAAGTTTTTTTCTCCCTGGTTGAACGGTGGAGCCTATTTGTATCGTTGAAGAGCCCTTTAGAGTGAACAGCAAAGAGGGTATTAGGATCCCTTAAATTCCTAAAAAGTGTCCCATTCACCTAAATCTGGTGAGTGTATTTGATGTTGGTTTCACGGGTGGAAGGTGAAAGTTTTCTTTGGTGTATTTGAAGAGTCTTTGGGAAAGAAGAAAGTCACTTGATTAAAATTTTTTCACTTGATATTTTTTCACTTGATATATATATATACATATTTCACAGACAAAAAAATTTTTTTGGGTGTTTTCTGTGGACTTTTATTATTAATTTTTATTAATATTGATTATTAATTTTATTATTTTTTTATTATGATGCACTTTATGTATTGATGGTGTGTAGAGGTCTATGTTTGCGCTGGTTTATTCATTATTTATTGTGATATGTCTGTTAGCAGATTAGTGATGCATGAGGAGACTGATGGAGTGAGCTGAGGAGTACAGAGATAGATTTTGGTGTCATCAGCATAGAAATGGTATTGAAAGCCATGGGAGGCAATCAGTTGACGCAGAGAGAAGGTGTAGATTGAGTATAGGAGGGGTCCCAGAACAGAACCTTGGGGAACCCCAATGGAGAAAGGAGGAGGAGAAGAGGAAGTAGAATTGTGACACTGAAGGTATGGTGGGATAGGTAAGATGAACCAAATAAGAGCACAGTCACGGAGACCAAAGGAGTAGAGTTTTTTGTGAGGAGGAGGGAGTGGTCCACTGTGTCAAAGGTAGCAGAGAGGTCCATAAGTAGGAAATATAGAATAGTGTCCATTGGTTTTAGCCATCAGTAGATCGTTTGTAAGTTTGAGGCGAGCAGTTTCCATGGAGTGCTGAAAGCGAAATCCCGACTGAAGGGGATCTCAATGAGGTGGTTGCTCAGCTGGTTGTGGACCAGGCATTCAAGGAGTTTGGAGGAAAAGGGGAGTAAGGAGATGGGTTGTAGGTTGCTAAGATTGGTGGGGTCTAGTGAGGGCTTTTTTTTAAGCATGGGCGTGACTAGTGCATGTTTTAGAGAATTGGGAAAGATGCCGGAAGAGAGGCAGAGATTGAAGATGTGAGTTAGAGAGTGTAGGAGCCAAAGGGTGACCGTGACATTTGAGATGGAACAGGGTCCAGCTACCTCGTCTATAGTAGTGGGGTTGAATGCGGGAAGTAGTGATTGTCCCTGTAGATGTGGAGGAGAGGTATCTGCGTGTTGGAGATCTCCTCACAAATTATATCGATTTTTTTTTTTTTGGCGATCTCCTGTGCAGCGAGTGAGTTAGTGGGTGGAGGATGAAGAAGAGAGTTGAAGGTAGAGAAGAGTTGATGGGGATTGGATAAGAAGGTGTTAATGAGAATAATGAATAGTGAAATAGGTCTGCTTGGCAGTGTGGAGGCAGCAATAGTATTTCTGGAGGGCAAATTTATATTGGTTGAATTCTTTCTGAGACTTAGTCTTGCGCCACAGACGCTCAAGCGACTATTTTTTGAGACCTCTGGTATCATCTGTTTGCCAAGGTTTTAGGGGTCGGGGCCTGACTGTGTATGTAGTGAGGGGAGCGAGCTTGTCTAGGGAGGATAACCGTGAACTGTTGTGGACAGACGTCGCTAGATCTGGGCAGGAGAGGGATGATATTCTGTCATAGAGGTGGTCAGTAGCAGAGAAGGGTTGAGGTGGCGAAGGTTTCTACAGGTAACTGTCAAGTGGTTGGAGGGAGAGGAGGTGGGAGACACGGAGAGAGTGATGATAACAAGGTGGTGATCAGAGAGGTTACACAGAGTACATAGATATGAGAATAAAAGGGCAAGGGTGTTGCCATCAGAGTAGAAGCTTGTATCCACTGCTTCAGGCCAAAAAAGGAGGCTAGATTAAGACGTTTACAAGTAGCAGGAGTGTTAGCATTAAAAAGGGACGTTGAAGTCGCCAAGAATGATTGTGGGGATTTCAGAAGAGGAGAAAGAAGGGTAGCCAGGCAGAGAAGTCATCAAGGAAGGGTCCAGGGGGATGGCAGATCACAGAAATTCTTAGTGAAACAGGAGAGAATAGACGTATACAATGTGCATCAAAGGAGGCGAGTGTCAGAGAGGGAGGTGAGTGAAGTACCTGATAGCCATCAAGCATGCTTCTTTGGATAGACCTGGTATATTGCCCCATATTCACATCTCAATCCTGATTTTTATCAGGTCATCAACACTTTCTCACGCAAATTCCTTGTGGTCATCTCTTCGTACTCATAGTAGCACTTCCCTATCAGTACCAACCAGCAGGTAATCTTATTGATGGTGCATTTGGGCGGAGCCCTTCAGGAAGCGTTTGGGTGGCATTTTTCATCCACTGGTCTCTGTTTTTTTTTTTTTTTATTCATTTTTATTAATTTTTGTTTCATAATTTTTGCCTGAGAAATCCGTGGCTGTGGTCACATAACAATTTGTTCTTAATAGTTCCTGGCAGTTTTCACCTTACATGGAATCATGTAAGTGTATAACCATATTGTAAAGTATCAAATTGTTTACAATAATTTTGTGTCATGTATATTAACATATACATGTTTGTTATAGACGTCGTGCCTTCTTGAGCACTTCTGAAGAAGAGATTTTTGTTGATCTTGAAACGCGTCAAGTGTTAACCATCTCTTTTGAATGCTTGAAATTTATCATATATGTAAATTGTGCCGTTAAAGTCCCACTAAAAAAGGGACTCCCCCTCCCAATTAGAGACACTGCTTCTGATGACCCAATTTCCCTTAATTTGTGGAGATTATCTTTCACTTCCTGTTTTGGCTATGGGACAGGAAATGTTGGTACTGTAAATCTCAACAGGACCCTAATGGCAAAAATTTTTTTTTTATCATCACAGAAAGCAACTTTCTGTCTATATCCCCCACCAAGCACCATAATTCCATCCTCTAACACTCCCCCCCCCCCCCCATACTGACGTAGGACTTGGAAGAAACCACAGTGTATATTGGAGGACACTGGTATCCGACACTCCCGAAACTGTTGAATGGCAAAGAGGCGTATGGAGGCTGCAAAAGGGGGAGATAGGGCTCGTTCACACTTGGCTGTTTTACCAACGCTTGCCAAACGCCCCTATAGCGTTTGGCAAGCGTTGGTCCGGCGTTTGCGGAGCGTTTTTAACGCTTGGCAAACGCTCCGCAAACGCCACATGCGCGGTTTAGTGGCGGTTGCTAGGCGTTTGCCGAGCGTTAATAACGCCCCACAAACGCCTATAATACAGTTTGAGTGGTGTTACCGCTCTGCAACCGCACCGCAAACGCGGCCAGGCGTTTACGGAGCGGCACCATAGACGAGAATAGGAGGCTTCAAAGCCTCCTGACTCGACCAGAGGCGTCCGTTTTGCCGCAACGCGACGCGACGCGATGCAAATGCTCCCGTTAGAACAGCACCATGTGCTGTAATGTGCAGAATTGGCAGAGGCGTTTGGGAAGCAGTAAAAATGCTTCCCAAACGCCTCTCTGCCGCCTGCACACAAGGCTAGTGTGAATGTAGCCTTAGGAGCCATGGACCACCAGAGTTGGGTATAACAGATCTACTGTAGAGACCTTTAGGGATCATTCATTCACTTCATTGCAATGCACAGTAAAATATGTTGGTGCAATGCAGCTACTGAATGGCCATTGCTATGGAAAAATGCGATAGTGCGTTCGGCGGCAGCACCATCTTTATGAAGTCCTATATCAAACTAAACTTTACCCACTTGTCCACCAAGGGACGTTTATAATCAGCATGGTAGACAAATGGTTAAATCAAGCTCATGGCTACTGCATCTGTGAGCTTGATGATAGCTTCCGGGGTCACAGCTATCCTTCCTCAGCTAGTCCACCATATGGGGGCAGCACAGCGGCTAAATGGTTAGCACTTCTGCCTGGCAGTACTAGGGTCTTTGGTTCAAATCCCAACCACGGCACCACCTGTCTGGAGTTTGCGTGTTCTCCTTGTGCCTGTGTGGGTTTCCTCCGGGTACTCCGGTTTCCTCCCACACTCCAAAGACATGCTGGTAGGTTAATTGGCTCCTGTCTAAAGTGGTCCCTAGTATGTGTATGTATGAATGTGAGTTAGGGACCTTAGATTGTACGCCCCTTGAGGGTTAGGGCTGATGTGAATGTACAATATATATGTAAAGCTCTGTGTAAACTGACAGCACTATATAAGTACCTAAAAAAAAAATCTGTGCTGGAATAACTGATTTGGAGGGCAGGTGACACAGTGGGGGGACCAATGGGCCCCTCATATCTCCACAAAGAGGACCTGTCACCTGCCCATGCTATCATATACGGTGACAGTGCTGAAATACAGAACGCCCACGTGAACCGGGCCCAATTCTCTCTATATATATATTTCTATAGGTAATACTGGCACTAATGGGAGAATGCAATCCTTACTCGCAGTACTCAGGTTCTCACACACGCTCATATATCAGAAGCGATAAGGATCTCTGCGTCCATGACAACCACACTAAGGAGAAACCTCCCTCACACGACTGCCGGTACGTCACTGCCGGAAACCGTTCTCCCACCTCCCTCCGTTGCTAAGCGACAAGCAGGCTGTGTCATGTGACCCGCTGTCGTGAATAATCCGTTTGAAGCTTCGCGCTCCCCTTCGCGCCGCGTCGGTTACCTAGGTAACCAGTCCTCAGCCACACCTCTTCCACCAGTTCACGTTAACAACAATTGTTGCGTAGTTACGTCGGGCCTTCTTCTCAGCGACCAATCAGCGAGCGGGAGGAACAGGAACCTAGGCCAATAAGGTGGCGAGCAGCGTGATGGTTGTAGCCAATCAGCGATCGGGACGGAGAAACCACGTCGTTTAAACGGTGTATTGGTGAGAGGCGTTCCGCTGCGGTGGAAGGATCACCGTCGGGCGGAATAGAGACGGGGGGAGCGGACCGGAGGGCGGCTGTGCGAGGCTGGCGGAAACATGCCTTCCCGGGTGGAGGACTATGATGTGCTGTACACAATTGGCTGCGGGTCGTATGGAAAGTGCCAGAAAATCCGCAGGAAGGCGGACGGGAAGGTGAGGAGGTGTAGAGGGGAGCGGGCAGGGCTGTCCGTGTGGGAATAGAGCGGAATGTCCATTCAGGTTACCAATACCTGCATTGGTAGTGAACTGCAGTTATCGCTGTAGCCAGTAGGGGCGCTGTGACTGCTGTGTATTGGAGGAATCAATGTCCTGGGGCTAGGGGTCACTATGACCAGCCATAACATTATGACTGCTGACAGGTGAAGTGAAGAACATTTGTCTCTTTCCAGTGGCATCTGAAAGTGGGTGGGATCTATTGGGCAGCAAGTGAACATGTTGTCCCTGAAGTTGATGTGCTGAAAATAGAAAAATGGGCAAGTGTAAGGACTGGAGCGACTGACAAGGAGCAAGATTGTAATGGCGAGATGACCGGGTCAGAGCAACTCCAAAGCTGCAGCTCTTGTGGGATGTTCCTGGTCTGCAGGGGTCAGGACTGACTGAAAGTGGTCCTAGGAAAGAGAACTGGTGATAGGGTGATGGGTGGCCAGGGCTCATTGATACACATGGGGTGTGACGGCCGGTCTGTGTAGTGACAGGGTGATGGGTGGCCGAGGCTCATTGACACACATGGGGTGTGAAGGCCGGTCTGTGTAGGGTGACAGGGTACACATGGGGTGTGGTCCCAATGGGTGGCCGAGGCTCATTGACACACATGGGTGTGAAGGCCGGTCCGTGTAGTGACAGGGTGATGGGTGGCCGAGGCTCATTGATACACATGGGGTGTGAAGGCCGGTCCGTGTAGTGACAGGGTGATGGGTGGCCGAGGCTCATTGATACACATGGGGTGTGAAGGCCGGTCCGTGTAGTGACAGGGTCATGGGTGGCCGAGGCTCATTGATACACATGGGGTGTGAAGGCCCGGTCCGTGTAGTGACAGGGTGATGGGTGGCCAAGGCTCATTGATACACATGGGGTGTGAAGGTCGGTCCGTGTAGTGACAGGGTGATGGGTGGCCAAGGGCACACAAGGCTCATGTAGTGACAGGGTCACAAGGCTCACATGGGGTGTGAAGGCCGGTCCGTGTAGTGACAGGGTCATGGGTGGCCAAGGCTCATTGATACACATGGGGTGTGAAGGTGGTCCCAAGGCTCATTGATACACATGGGGTGTGAAGGCCGGTCTGTGTAGTGATAGGGTGATGGGTGGCCAAGGCTCATTGATACACATGGGGTGTGAAGGCCGGTCTGTGTAGTCTGATCCAATAGAAGAGCTACAGGAGCTCAAACTGCTGAAAATGTTCATTCTGGTTCCCGTAGAAAGTTTGTCAGAACACACAGAGCATCGCAATTTGCGGTGTAGTCACAGACCGGTAAGGGTGCCCATGCTGACAGCTCTTACAATGGACATATGAACATCAGAACTGGACCACGGAGCAATGGAAGGAGGTGGCCTAGGCTGATGGGTTCAAGAATGGTTTGAGGAACACAAGTTTGAGTTGTTGATTTGGCCTCCAAATTCTCCAGATCTCAATCCAATTGAGCATCTGTGGGATGTGCTGGATAAACAAGTCTGATCCATGGAGGCCCCACCTCACAACGTACAGGATTTAAAAGACCTGCGACTGACGGCTCAGTGCCAGATACCACAACATACCTACAGAGGTCTAGTGGAGGCCATTCCTCAAAGGTTTAGGGTGGGTGGTCATAATGTTATAGCTGATCGGTGTATACAGTGCAGTGACGTCATCTGATTCTTTTATCCTCCTCCCGCCCGCCATATAAGGTAATGACAGGTGCAAGGTGGTTCTCTCGTTCTGGGAGGACATCATACGACATCCACCCACTCTATCCGCGTGGCGATCGGTGGTGCGCTGTGTCCCTTGGACACAGCGGATCACCAATCAAGGGAAAGAGCTGAAGACGTCGGCTCTGTCGTGATCAACTGTGTCCAATCACAGCTGATCACATGTAAATAGGGAAATGCCGGTTATCGGCATTTTCTCTCCTCACGAGCTGTCACGCCGACAGCTCGTGTGAAAAGGAGAGCCGGTAATCGGCATTCCTTAGAGGGGACATATACACTGATCATCAGGGCACTGATGATCAGTGTAGCCCCAGCAGTGCCATCTGTCAGTGCCCATCAATGCCAGCTGTCAGTGCCTCATCAATGTTACCTGCCAGTGCACATCAGTGCCATACCAGTGCACATTAATGTCACATCAGTGCCCATCTGAGCCGCCTGTCAGTGCTGCCTAGCAGTGCCATATGAGTGCTGCTGCCTTTCAGGGCCCATCAGTGATGCCTGTCAATGCCCACCAATGCCTCCTATCAGTGCAGCCTTATTAGCGCACATCAGTGAATGAGAAAAATCACTTATTTACAAAATTTTATAACCAAAACTAAAACTTTTTTTTTTTCAAAATTTTCAGTTCTTGATATGTTTAGCAAAAAATGAAAAACCCAGAGGTGATTAAATACCACCAAAAGAAGCTCTGTCTGTCTCAAAGTGATAAAAATGTAATATGTGTACAGTGTTGCATGACCGTGCAATTGTCATTCAAAGTGCAGCAGTGCTGAAAGCTGAAATTGGCCTGGGCAGGAAGGAAGTATAAGTGCCCTGTAGGCAAGTGGTAGTAAACTTTTTTTTTTTTTTTTTTTTTTTTTTTTTTTTTTTTTTCAGCTTAATTTAAAGCTTACCTGATAGTAAAATGAATATCTCCTAAGTGTGCACCATTTAGGAGATATTTGCTATTTTTGAGGAAGGAAGACCAGGTGAAGATGGAAGCCTCTGCAACAATGACAATGTGCCACTGGAGGGCTTTGTTTTAAGACAAGTCCTTCGTAATGTACTAGTATGCATCGCATACTAGCACATTATGACATTACTTTGCAGGGGATTTTTTTTTTTTTTTTTTTTAAACTGCGGTTTACTGTCGCTTTAAAGCTGAACTCTAGTAATGAAACCGTCCGGGTGGGGGTGGGGGGTGCACATGCATTCTTACCCTGAGTTGGGTGCAAAATCCCACTTTGTTGGCACACAGAAATGTGCTGTCATTTAGCAGATGCTTGGCAGTGCCATTAATTGTTAATGTCAAACCTAAATGAATGAGCTGCCCTACACACATGTGGAAATGCACTTAGTCGCACCTGTAGGTGTAACCCAAGCCTTATAGTTGAAGCATAACTCCATGAGATAATCTACCTACCGCAAAGCATAGATTTGTCTCATTCCTGGAGTTACTCTTTAAAAATGAGAGTGCATTCACATGGACATTTGCAGGTGGAAGAGAGCTCTGATGTTTTCCTGTGCCTAGGGATCTACAGGTAGCTATAGAAGTGCATGACTGTATGCGCTTGTACTCGTGTGAATGTTTTCTTGTATTGGTGTTTACCTGCACATATGGCATTTGTTCGCGAAAGCAAAACATCCACTTGTGAGCAATGTGTTATACAGATATATGTAGGTGAATGCTGATACAAAGAGCATTCACTTCTATTGCTGGCTGTGTACGTATTCTGCAGCCCCTGGGGGCAGGGAGATGTTGTGAGCTTTATGCGTCCAAGTGCATGTCGCTTAAGTGAAAAATAAGTTACCTGTATTTAAAAAAGAAAAAAAAATCGGCACTAGGTTGTCTTGTATGGTAAAGCCTACCTGTAATAGAAGAGGCTCTAATCTTACCTGTTTGTTCTGTTGCTTCATGTGTTTGACTGGCTGTGTCATATTACATGAGATAGGAACCTGAAAAATGAACACTGCATGTGGAAGGGGGTATGATGTATGAGCTAGCGGTGTAGAGGGCAATATGGGCATATGCCTCATCTGGCTAGATGAATACTTCCAGTAGCCAGGGAGAAGTGAAGTGACATGTCAACAGGCCACATGCAATGGAAATAGATCATCCTCAACAGTACATAAAAATTTCTCCAGATTGTCCAAATCTTGATATTATGTGCAAGGGACAAGGCCAAAACACCGTATTGGATGCCTGTGATCTTTGGGCCCTCGGACGGCACTGGATTTAAAACACGCATGATTCTGTGGTGGAAATCATTGCTTGGGCTCAGGAATACTTCTAAAAAATACTGTCTGTGAACAGTTTGCCGTGCAATTCAAAAAATGCAGGGTAAAGATCTAGCATGCAAAACCATATCTGAACATGATCCAAAAACACCACCATCTTCTCTGTGCCAAAGCTCATTTAAAATAGTCTGTTGCAAAGTGGAAACAATTGTGGTCAGAGGAATTCCAAATTTGACGTTCTTTTTTGGCAACCATGGGCTCTGCATCCTCTGGGCTAAAGAGGAGTGGAACCTTCTGGCTTGTTAGAGTTCAGTTCAAAAGCTTGCATCTCATTAGGGTACATTAGTGCATATGGAATGGGCAGCATGCCAATGTGGAAAGACCCCATCAATACTGAAAGATATATCCAGGTTTTAGAGCAGCATATCCTCCCACCAAGACAATGTTTTTTTTTTTTTTCAGGGAAGGCCTTTCATATTTCAGTGGGACAATGCTAAACTGCATACCGCATCTTTGACAACAGCATGGCTTGGTAGTAGAGTCCAGGTGTTTAACTGGCCTGCCTGCAGTCCAGACCTTACACCAAACATTTTCAATTGGTGAATCTTGAAACAGAAAATATGTTGAAGATTTAGGACTGTTGAGCAGTTAGAAATCTTGTATCAGGCAAGAATTGGAAACCTTCCTCTCCCAAAACTCCCAGTAAATTGTCCTCAGCTCCCAGACGTTTATGGACTGTTGTTAGAAGAAGAGTGGATTCTACACTGTGATAAACATGGCCCTGTCACAAATTTTTTGAGATGTGTTGCTGCCATCAATTTAAAAACTGTTATTGTTTTCTTGAAATTTATTATGTTTCGTTTTCTCCGTTTAAAAATGTGATATGTTTGTTTTTCTCTTGTGAATATAATATAGGTTTATGAGATCTCTAAATCCATCACATTCTTATATTTTTGAAAAGGGGGGGGGGGGTGTTTTATACTACAAGCCTTTTCATCTCGTTATTATTATTTAGAGCTAGCCAAGAGGTCTGCCCTAGGATGTAATTGCTGAGAAACTGTATAGGCATCGTCCCCTTGTGCTTGGTACAGTATCAAATCCATATGTATATGATACCTGAGGTTGAGTAGAGTGGACTCTCTGCCTTGCCTTCCCCAGCCCAGTCAAACCCAACCAATCTGCTCCTTCAGAATCCTTCCTACCTTTTTATATTGGGGGTGCTTGTCTCTACCTTTTTATGAGGTGTGCTTTTGGTGTTCCCCATTTCTGGAGGAGGAGCCCTCAAAACTGCCCATAACAATAGGTGGGATATTCCCCAGAAATTATTTGGTGAGGTCATCCAATGATCAGACCAGCTTTATCTATGTGAATGACATTGTAGATGGATGAAAGTATAACCAGAGGTTACAGTGAGGGAGGTCAAAAGTACCAAAAAAATCCTTGCGTGCAGTAGAGTTCTTTGTTGTATTTTCCTGTTGCTTGAGTTATCTTGCTTTAGTTAAACTGCTGTTTTGCACTCCAGCAGAAAATGCACTCACCCAGGATACCCATGATTTTTACCGGGTTTTGCTGTGTTTTTCAGCTTTTGAGTGTTTTACAGGTAAACTCCTAGAAACCTACTAGTTCTGGGAGTTTTTTTTCAGCCAAAAAAACATTGATTAGTCTTTGTGCATGGACACATAGAATAACATGCTGGGGAGTTTACTGGCTGTAGAAAAAAAAAAAAATCAAAGGCCAAAAAACAGCGGCTGTAAAAAACGTCCCGTTTGCAGGAGGACTTGGGCTTTAGCTTAATGGGGCAAATGGCACAAAATCAGATGTCCTTTAGAGACCCCTAGTGACCAAATACAGCATTACACATGAGGAATGGGGGCGAAATATACAGTTACATATTTGTAGTGTATGGACCACATCCTTCCTATATTGAACCTTAAAATAAGATCCCTTCTAAGAAAAGCACTGATGGCATAGCTGCAATTTTTATCTAGTATGGGAAAAAATATAAATTTCTTTATTTTGAATCAAAACCATTGATTAAAAAGTGTTTATGCACATATTGTCGGCATTACAGTTCATATTCCATATACAGATCTCACCCATGGTATGCATAAATAGATCCAAAGATGGATTGCAATAATAAAGATGACAAATTAGGTCTCCACATTCAACACGTTTCACAGGACTGAGGCTGGGGAAACGTTTGCTGCTTGATGACACGGACACACACACACACGGACACACACACACACACACACACACACACACACACACGGACACGGACACACACGGACACGGACACTAGAGAGAATGCTACGACTGTCTTCTATCAAATGGTCCTACTGGAAAACCAGCATCCAATATGCCCTTGCAATGGCTGCAAGTAATGATCTGTGTATTCTGCTGAGGTGCATGCCCCAGGAGATCCCTGCATTACATGTTATTTGTGCTAAAGTGGGTATCTGTCAGGTGTCTGTCCATTCAACCCACTGGGTTGAACAGGGGGAAAAAATTGTGTAGAATACCCTGATTATTCTGACATACAGTTGACCGCTTGAGAAAATATACATGTAGATCCTATTGGGCAATCAGCAGAGATTCACAAGTGGTTAATTTTTTCACATACACCTTTTGGCAAATTTCATGTTCACTGCTCTATTAATAGGTCTCTTTGCCTCTTTGTGTCATTTTTGCTTTAACTTTTGCTCTATACTTTTTTTTTTTTTTTTTCTCTTTCTCTCTGAAGATATTGGTATGGAAAGAGCTTGACTATGGCACAATGAGCGAGTCCGAGAAACAGATGCTGGTCTCGGAAGTGAACTTGTTACGGGAATTAAAACATCCAAATATTGTCCGTTACTATGACCGGATAATTGATCGGACGAATACAACTCTTTACATTGTGATGGAGTATTGTGAAGGAGGGGACCTAGCCAGTCTTATTGCCAAATGCACTAAGGAGAGGTATGATCAAACTTCTGCTATGACATTTACGATATTATGTGTACGGAACGCAACAAGGCCACAATCTATAAACACACATAGATAAACATGGAATTTTGTTTTTCCTGAATATTGTAGGTTTGATTTCACATTTTAAGAGACTTGAAATTCTTACACGTTGGTTCCTTTCAATTGTCTTTCCATTGGTTGTGGAATTGCTTCCATAAGTCGAGGGCAGCCAGGAGTGTGTAAATATCCCTGCTGATGCTGACATAAATCTTATTTCACTGGCAGCAAAAGGGAGGGGGGTATCGGGCTGCTGAAACATGCCTGGCAGTTCTAAATCCTGTCCCAACCCATATAGCTGTCATACTGAATAGTATCCTTACATATATTATCTGTATGCAATTATCAGAATATAGTAGAGGTATATAAAAACCATCAGCCTCCAGCCAGTGAATAAAAAGATTTGAAGGCATCTAAAAAAGGTAACTAAAATGTATGTGTGGGGCTCCTCCAGGAAGGTGTTAATGAGGAGTAGAGCACTGAGATCTACTCTATAAAGCCTAATTCCAGCTTTTCTACCCACTTTAATAGTTCTTTTGGGCCAAGCTGGGTCAAAACATTTTCCATCAGTAAGAAATGCACCCTTTGTCAGCACTGCATAAACTATGTATAGTATCGGCATTGAGATACAGGGAGTTCCCATCCCGTTCCCAGAATAATCGAGTGCTGCTTAGCTATTCATAGGAAGTCTTGTATTTTTTATGATTTAAATACAAGACTTATCTGACGTGGCAAAGGTGACATCTGCCCACCTATCCACTTCAGTCAATCAGAGGTAGTCTTTTAATGCTATAGTGGTGTGAACCTCCTGCGCTGATACTCCTAAATATGTGACCTACCAAAAGAAGCTGCTAACATTAAATCATATATACCCGTGATCGGTAGATATAAATAAAATAAAATGTAGCGCTAAGCACATAAATTACATATAATGTAAACCAATAAAATACACGTGAATGGTGACACACTGTGTAAAAAACATAGGTGAAATAAACTAAAATGCTCACTTAGTGCCTCAATATAAATAACACACACTACTGACATAGTGACGCACTTCTGGCGTGGACACCATCTTGGCACACCTTATTACTATACCCATGCATGCAAAGTGCACCAAAAAGCATGAGGTTCTATGCTGAAGATCTATGTGAGTGTGCATTTTTTTTTATATATTTTGTCCTATTTAATATAATAAACATATTGCACTATGGGAGGATGTGTTTTTATGTTTTTTGAATGAGATATTGGCGCTTCACCCTGCCTTAACTGGAAAGGAGCCACTACCAGAGTGCTGACCCTCTGTGAGGGAGATTTGTTTGCATGAGCGCAGACCAGTGGAGTGGCTGCATACTTGAAGGATCTCAGGGTGTGATCCCACAAAACGCTTTGACCCTTGCGGGTCAAAGTTTTGAGGTGAGAGGCTAATCTAGCCGGTGGTCGGATTGTTTTGTGTCAGCAGCTACCCACTGTCACATATTATCCAATTCCAGATGACACTCGTGCTGATAAAGTGATATTATCCACATCATATTGGACTGTTTGAGCACAGATCAGACGTTGCAGTCTGATATAATTTGTGTGTTGTTGCACTGCATTTGCACAAATATTGTACACTGATTATTGTTTTTAGTTTTTTTTTTTTTATTGCACTGATTGAGATATTTTTACTTCCTATAGGGGGTACATGTCCTTTGCCATTTTTTGTGGCACTTTAGGTATTTATTGTATTTATATACACTAGGTCTTTGCATGTTTATGCTTTATATTGAGTTTGCAGTGGTTGAGACCTATTTTTTCTTGACTATTATTCACCATCACTTCTTGGTCCAGCTGTATATCACTATATTTGTGGTATTATGTGGCACATTGCACGATTGTGTGTTATTTATATTGTGGCACTAAGTGAGCGCTTTTTTTAGTTCGCCTATGTTTTTTACACAGTGTCACCATTCACATGTGTGTTTTATTGGTTTAAATTCTATGTTATTTATGTGCGTAGCGCTACCTTTTTTTTGGCTTTTAATGCTGTCTTTTATTTTCCAGGCAGTACCTAGAAGAAGACTTCATATTGTGTGCTTTTGTTCAGCTTGCCTTGGCCCTAAAAGACTGCCACAAAAGGAGTGATGGGGGACACACTGTTCTCCATAGAGACCTGAAACCAGCCAACATATTTCTAGATGCCAAGAGGAATGTGAAACTTGGAGACTTTGGGTTGGCTCGAATATTGCATCATGATACAAGTTTTGCTAAGACGTTTGTTGGTACTCCTTACTACATGTCGCCTGTGAGTATTTCTTGCCTTGCTTTCTTATCGTGACTCACAAAGCACGAGTCACAACTGGGCTTGTGTAAGAAACTAAAAATGTAATTGATTGCTAGACTGCGACAGACATGCATCTTCTCAAAGACACAACAGTATGCAGGCTCATAAACCTAAACCTGCCATTGAGCCAAGAGGAACCCAAAAACATTCTACAGCTTGGTACCATTTTTCTGTGACAAACTGGGGAGGGGGTGGAGAATCTTCCTGAACCCTTAGTTGGACACTTCTTGGATTCACCTTCTACAATGTTATTTTAAAATATATGAATAGACCTTTATAATGTGTTTAGAGACGCCTGTGGCTGGCAAAATATAAGAACAGCGGCTTTATCTGATTTGCATACAGCTGCTGTTTAGCAATTTTCCACCAAGCTCCTTTCAATTTTTGTTTTTGTGGGTGTTTTTTTTTTTTTTTTTTTTTTTTTTTTTTTTTTTTAGTATGTCAGGCAAGATGGTACTAATGGGGCCACCCACAAGGTGAATTTTGGCAATGTCATCAGGAAACTTGATCAGCGTCTGGCCAGCATAAAATGCAAAAGTGATAAGGCAGCCCAGACTTCCAGGTCTACTGATCATGTGATGTGTCGAAATATCTCTTTCCCGCCCTGAGTTTGCAGATCTTGTGTGTCTGACACTTTAGTCAGCAAACTCTGTGCTCAAGCAGACTATCACACAGGCTTTGCAGACTACACTCACCGCTCCCTAGCCGTTTATAGTCAGCTACAAATACACCTTGGGGTAAATTACTAAGACTGGAGCACACAGAATCTGGTGCAGCTGAGCATAGCAACTGATCCGCTTCTAACCTCATCTTGTTCAATTAAGCTTTGACAAACCTAGACGCTGACTCATTATTAGGCACAGCTTCACCAGATTTACCCCATCCCACCCACTGTCTCCTACAATACTGCTGTCTGGACACAGAGGCACAGGCAAATTTAGCATACTTTGGTGAGCTCTAATGGTTATGTGGCAGCTTAAATGAGTTCCCCACACCTCTGAGATTTGCCAAGCTTGTCACATTGTATGCTAATTTATAACTTCTATGCATGGTACTAATCTGGATGCAGTCAGATTGGCTGTCTCATTGTTTAACCAAGCACTAGCAATATAAGGGAAGGTGAGTCACACTGCAATTTCACACAGACCTGCAATGATTTACACTGAATGTGTGTGTAGTTCTAGTATATCATCACTTCTCGGCCTTTTGGCGAAGATCAAGTGTAGTATCTGTTCTTATCAGTGTCCAGTAGGGTTGCTCCGCCATCATTCTTGCTTTTAGGCGAGGATGGTTGGCTGTATAGCACCCCTGCTGGTATGATGGGGGCCCTGAAGGCTAGTACCCGCTGGAAGAGAAACTGAGGCGCCCACAGGCTGTTGGGGCCTGGGAGTAATTCCCCTGGGAAAACTGGAGGGGCCCAGTTCCTCCTGATTTGAACGGATCTTCCTTGCTGGCCAGGGGCCGGGGAGGCAGAGAGTCTGCGGAGCAGTGCCCCCTGAGTAGTCGCCACAGGGTTGCTCTTAGTAGCACATAGGGGTGGGATCCCAAGTGTGAAAACTGCATATGGTCACTGTTCCAAACACTTTTTGTGTACTGCGCCTTTTAGGACTAGGCATTTTTGCTAAGTCCAGGGAAGTTTTTGCTACGGGGCCTTGGGTCCTAGCCAGTGTACAGTTGCACGGCCACTTATTTCTTTTTCTCCCGCGTTTTTGTCACCTTTTCACTTTTGAGTGTATTTTATTTCTCACTAGGATGGAGGGTGTGGGTCCTCGTGCCTACCCTGAAGTCTAGGGAGAGGATGCATGGCAATAAGGTTCCTTCCCCTTTTCCTGATGGGGGGGGGGGGGGGGGTCTCTTTTCGGGAGAGCCCCCTGACCTAGTGGTGGTTGGCTTTGGCTAGCCACAAGGAAAGGGCTCTGCCAGGCCTTTTGGCTAGGTGGGACCATGTGGAAATCTTTTGTCCCTGTCAGGAGCCTTGTGCCCCTGGGGATCAGGGTAGAGGTCCTAACCTTTCGGGGGTGGACTAAAGCACATCCCTAAGTGCACTTGTTTGTGTTTTTGCAGGTTTTTTTTTTTTTTTTTTTTTTTTTTTTCTTTTTCGTCCACTTATGGGTTTTTGTTTTTTTGCACCTCCGTGGACTTAAGGAAAACTAGTATATCATCACTGCCAAGAAGTCTCTTCAGATTCATGCATTCTTTAGTATAATTAAAAACCAGCTCATTATATTTTAATTTGTCCAAGGGACAGGGCATAGGTTACAAAAAAGCAGCAGGTAAAAAGGTAAGACATACAGTATAAAATAACGTTGAGTAAGTAAATGTAGATCATACCTCCATAACACTATGGGACCCCTCCAGGACTAAAAGGGGAGATTCCACCCATTCATACTATTTTATATAGGGATGGAATGGGCCAGCTGCAGCCTATTCTCATTCACTTAAGTTAGATTTTTGTAATGATCGTATTCAGAAACCTCATAACTGAGTTCAAACTCCATTACTCTCCAGACTCCGTAGCACCATGAAAGGAACCAAATATTAATTCCTCTGTATTTTATATTAAAATTAAACTAGAATGTTTGAGGTCAAGCAGCTCCTCTTTAAGCCTCCACACTTACAGGCGGTTTTTTGATCATGTGCTGCTTGGGGAGGGAGTTGCGATATATTACCTTCTGTCAGTTTTTTTTTTAATTGAACTACGTATTTCACAGGCTGGGTAAAACTTCTCAGATCTGAGCGTTAATTAGCATGCAGCCACCTAGTCCATGTGTCTCATTAGAACAGAGCTAATGAATCCTGCTAGACAAAAATGTCATGTTACACCCGAAATATGTTCAATAAAGATTTAGAAAACCTTAAGAATAAGTTCATCTTTAGCAAGCTTTTTATCTCTATGCTGTGTAAATGTGAAATTGAATCTATTGAAGTGTATCTCTTACATTCTAGGAGCAGATGAATAGAATGTCTTACAATGAGAAGTCTGATATATGGTCATTGGGCTGTCTTCTCTATGAACTGTGTGCTCTTTCGTAAGTAATACTTGTTGGAGAAGCTTAGAGTATGCTGTAAACTTGCACAGTGCTCCTTCGATTTAATATTGGCACTGAATACGCAATGACTGACGCTTTTAAATCTGCAAGTCCTGCCTAGGAGTAGGCATTGGGTATCTGTTACTATTGGATTTTGTGGCAGAACAAAGTTTGATCCTAATGAATCCTGCCTTTCCCCCCCTTTAGGCCACCGTTTACAGCTTATAATCAAAAAGAATTGTCAGAAAAGATCAAAATAGGGAAATTTCGACGGATCCCGTATCGCTATTCAGAAGAACTAAACCAAATCATTACACAGATGTTAAATCTAAAGGTAAGTTCTGGCAACTTTGCAACAACAGGATGAAGACCAATCTGGTACTGCCATTAGTACTTTAGTGCATGAAACAAGTCTTCGACCATACCTACACAGCTATGTCATTCGGAGGAGTGATCACAACTTTTGACTGTTTGAATTATACTAAAAACATTTTGTCCGTTTTGTACTGCCATTGCTCCGTAGAGAATAGCTGAAAATGTGCAGGACTGGTGCGGATTTACACTTAGATTTACATGTAGCACTATGCTACATCCGACAATTGTTGACTATATTTGTATTTACTGTAACATTAATCTGAACACTGACCAGCTTGACCATTTCACATGCTTACACTAGTAAATTGCACAAGCTTTCATTTTTTACTAGCTTAGTTGTTGATTGCCTGCTTTAGTTAGAGAAATGTCATATGCACTTGTCTTTTAAAAGGTTCACATAGTGGTTTTGGTTTCTGTCAGGACTATTTAAGACCTTCTATTGAAGAGATTCTGCAGACCCCTCTGTTGTCGCACACTGTGGCAGAAGAACAAAATAGAGTATCAGAAAGGAGAGTCAAGAAATCTACAGAACAGGAGCAGGCGCACCATCTAGACCCCACATTGTCTGAGCTCAGATTAAAGGAACAGCAATTGCTGGCACGGGAAAAGGCTTTGAAGGAGAGAGAGGACCGGCTTGAGCGTAAGTTCATGGTCTCTGACAAACAGAACATGTCTGTTCTATGTGCTTTTCCTTTAATGCCCTTTTAAATTGTGTGAGCCTGTGGACATTCCTGCCTATACCATATATGTATGTATGTATATGTGTGTAATGTATATATAAAGCCCAGAGAGATGGATAGATATCTATATATATCTGGGCTTTACACACACACACACATACACACATATGTGTATATAGTGTGTAATGTGTGTGTGTGTGTGTGTGTATAAAGCCCAGATATATATAGATATCTATATATATCTATATATATCGGTCTGTCTGTCCTTTACAGATAATTTTTGCTTCTCTACAGAATGATTTTTTTTTTCTAAGGTCTGATCACTTAGATACTGCTATTTTTACTTTGAGTGTAATTCCGTGCCTAAATTTAAATCCAAAAAATAATTTTAATTGCTTTTAAACTTCAAAGTGGATTGTGCCCCAGCCACTGCTGCTGGAGAAGTAAGCTTGGTGGCTCATTTTTATTCAGTTTGTCAGCTTTTGCCATGCTCCTATAGCCCCTCTTACTTTATCACTTCATTGATCAACCATTGCAGCCAGTAATACCTTGTAGTCCTTCTCTATAACTAGGGTAGAGACAGATGCTGGATCTGCCTTTTTTTACAGTGTTACTAAACCCACAGCAGTAAAATCAGGCTATATATGCAGTAAAGCATGCTTGTTATACTTGCTGTGGAACCAAAGGGGTTAATCCTCTGCATTGTATAAAAATGCTCTTTGATCCTGACTTCTCTGATCATCCTCCTTCCAGTGTCCCCCTCTTATCTCCTGATAAGACATATCGTGTGGAGTCACTCTGCACCTGCTCAGTTTGGTGTGCTGTGCTAGAGTTTTCTTTGTTTTTTTCTTGTGAGAGTGTATGTGATCAGCAAAGGGCCAGTCAGCACTGTCCAGACAGAGGTCAGGGGTTCTGCATCCTCCTAGAGCAGGAAGAAAACTACAAGCTTTAACCAGTGCTCAGCAGGACACTGACAGAAGTCACAAGACTACACTAACTGCTGATGAGAAAAGGTGTTTGGCAGTTTTTATATTTCCTAAAATAATTGCATTTCTGTGTACTGTGGGAGCCCAGATAATAATTGCAGGGTCCTGGGTCTAGTAACACTCTGCAAATGCAGCATGTTTGACTGGCAGTTCATGTTAAACACTCAGCACCCCCTTCTTTAAAAAAATACATTTGATTATGTATTCCTAATCACGCGACCGCTCTCTCATATAATCCTCTCTTTCAGAACGCGAAAGGGAGTTGTGTGTGCGGGAGAGGCTAGCAGAAGATAAACTCTCAAGGTAGGGTGAGGTTCAGCTTATGTTTTACAAATGTTAGCATGCTTGCAGAGATTTGGTAAGGTGGCTTGAAACGGAACCAGAGGCCAGTAAGGCTTCAGAATTGTGCATATTTTATGTCCATATCCTGAACTAGAGTAGGGTAATGTCATCTGTAATGCTGAGAGCAAGCTGTGGGTGGGCGAAGTCGCGTCACTTCTGCCAGTTTTATCCTTGTTAGATGCAGCTAAGATTATGCCCGCTATCATTAATTGTGTTGGATTTTTTTTTTTTTTTCTCCTCTAATTTAAAAGTAATACTAGATTTTGCAAAATCTGATAAATTTACAACTAGCACAGGAAAAATGTAAGTTCTCTGGCTTCATGCTAATGTTTCCTGGTGTGCCCACATGACAGGATGTGAAGGAAAATCTCCAAAATGTAAATGCTGGTTGCCAAAAAATGGACCGCTATGGCAGGAGCATAATGAATTTTGACTCTACCCTTTCCATCTCTACAGGGCTGAAAACGTGATGAAGAACTTTAACTTGCTAAAGGAGCAGCGCATCTATGGAGCTGCTATTGAAAATGGGATAGGTACGAGAGCCAACAGGAAGCCTCTGGAAGCTTTACTAGATTGGCAGAACTACTAGCTGTAGTAACCCTTCTATAACTGGATATAATGTACTTTTTAATTTTTTTTTTAATTTAGATTGTGTATTTAATAAATTTACTTTTTTATCTGGTGTATCTTATTCCATTTTGATCTGCGCTAAAATAATTAACAAAGGTATAGTTCTTCATTCCTGCATTAAACCATGGCTTTTCAGTTGGAAATGCATACTACCATATGGATGCCATTAGTCTATAACTGAAGGAAATGCCTTGGCAACATGAAGGCTGCTATACTGAATACATTTTGAAAATGCCAAGCTGGTATTTTTACTTTCTGATGTCCCCACTAAGCTAATAATCCAGAATAGGTAGGAAGACAAGACTGTGTCTTGTCTTGCATACTTGTTTTGGGTCTCCCTAATGCTTTGGTTAGCATAACAGCCAGGTAACTAGTAGTTTTAGATGGAGGTCCATTGTGTGACTGCACTTAACATTTATAACTGTTGTGTGTTTGTTTTTTTCTTAACCTTTTGCACACAATTTCAGCAAGTGTCTTAAGCTTTGCTTTGAAGAGGTCATCTCACTAGGCCTCACTTGAAAGCATTTTTCAGTTTCACTAATTTCTTAGTGTTCCTGACTTGTCTGTCCTTAACATATGTAAATGTTTAGTAGCTGTTGCCTGTTTTACAATCCTACTAACTTAAAGAGCTTATTGTCTTACATTTAGAGGGGTTAGGCTAATCTGAATTTGATGCTATAGTTGCCACTCTGTCCTTTCAAAGAGAACTGGTCACTTTCCTGCTTACTTTTCTTTGGAGCTTCAGTTGTAGTTAAGAGTCTTGGCTGGTATCCACAATTGCACACATGCACTAAGCCACCAGAATCTGACCAAGGCATGGGATGGATGGAGTAGGAAAGAGAGACAGCATTGACCCTAGTTGAAAAGGTGTGAGGTGTCAGACTTCTACTTTTGGATAGCTTTAAAAACTATGGCTTTGTGGGTCTTTTTTTTTTTACATGTACAAGTGGTGTGTGGCTACTTTTGACTATAAAGGGGATAAACTGAAAGCTAGTAGAAAACTCTTTAAAGTAGAAGTTGATTGATCTGATGCTACATCTGTTCCCTACCCCTCAACATTTGAGTGATCAAAGATTGCTGAGCTGATCACTCAGTTTTTGGTCTTCACTGAGCAGAGCTGGTGACTGTCAGTCACCAGCTCTCTGCTCTGGCCTCCAGTACTTACTGCACTGCTGGGCTGTGGAGGGGGCAGAAGCGACTGGCTAATTCTGTAGCAACAGAAATGTGTATATTTTATCCTCCTTTTGTATTTAAAACTGTTTTTTTTTTATTTAACTGCTTTTCTTCCTTCCTTTTCTAGATCTTGTATCTTCCATAAGAAGTAAAAAGAATGCCCCCTTTGGCACTGCAAGTAAAGAGAACCATAGTGGGGGCAAACCTCCCTCCACCCAGGAGAAGTGCACAGAGTTAAAGCAGCGGTTGCAAGCTGCCAATCTGCGTGCCCAGGCCCTGTGCGAGCTGGAGAAGAACTATCAGCTAAAAAGCCGGCAAATACTTGGAATGCGCTGAGAAATGTTGTATATTTGAGAAATCGGTTACTATTTTTTCATAGCAGAGTTGTCCTCCAAAGCGGTTTTTCAAATTAATATATACTTATTTGAATGGTTATGCCAGTTGCACATACGAATGGGTCAGTTAAAGTGTGTGTGTGTGTGTGTGTGTGTGTGTGTGTGTGTGTGTGTGTGGACTGAACAGAAAATGTTTTAGAATTTAAGGAGGTTTGTTTTTATGTTGTATTCCTAAGCTTAGGTTCACACTAGTCCTGCCACATAATACTGGAAATGCACATACAGGGGCTACCATTTAAGTCTTTGGAGCCACAAATGTAGTACCAGAAGAAGCACACTGTTGTGCATGGCAGCCGCATTTTGCACTAGTGTGAACGGTAAATAAGGTTTGCATGCTGGGAGATTTCAGTCTGTAATGTCTTATAAATACACTAGCGTGTTTGTGATGGGACTGGAATGTGTCTCGGAATATGAGTTTGCAAAAAAGACAATTTTATTTATAACCTTTTTCTGGTTTATTTGTTACCTTAATTGATTTCCTTTCATCAACACCTGTTTTAAGACGTGTGTGTGTTGGGTTTTGTTTTAAATATCTGTATATATTTGTGACTGTTTATAAAGGGGAACTGTAGTTTTAAAAAGGTTTCCTTTTTATATTCTTTTACACACCCGTGGGCCATGTGAACTGGAGTGTAAGCTCTTGACAGCTCAAAGATTCTAAAGAGTGGAGCCAAGAACTGGGACAATGCAGTTCTGTCATCCAATGGGGATCATGCAATAGAGAGGATAGCAGTGGAATTGTGAAAAGAAACAGGAAGCGCTACCCGATGGTTTCCAACTCAAGAATGGGCAGTTCCTTTTGAGCAGCCAACTAAAAAAGAGACCCATGTGGATGCTCTCAGTAAAGGTTTCCTTTAAATTGCAACTGAGCCTAGACTATGAACATAAAACATTTGAAAATTCTTAACTAGCAGTAAAAGCTTTTATGCAAGCCATTCCTGACCTCTTAAGTGCTTTATATATATTTTTTTTTTTTTTTCTCCTTCCCCTTTTTCAATAATATTTGAGTTTTCTATAGAAAGAAGAAATGTTACAAAACATTAGTGAAGCCCTAAAAAGTGCCCAGACATAAAAGCATATTATAGACACAGAACCTTTTTTTTTTTTTTTTTAATTGTCATTCCCTGTAGTTGTATACAATGTACAGCATACTGTATCCAGGAGCGAAGTATGTGAAATTTTATAATAAATTGCAGGTTACATTTTTGGTTAACTTATGTGCTGTTAAAGTGGAACTTTACTCATAACAACTTGAACAAAAATGTTCTCTAGCAAGGAACATACATTCCACATTAATAATTATGCTACCAGAATTTGTGTGGTTGGGAAATTGCTTTCAGCATTGTTCCAGTTTCTTCTTGCTGGAGGCTGCCATGTTTCTGAAGCCCAGAACCCCTGAGCAGCTGTAAAGCTTTAGGCTGGCAGCAGAGCGGCCTCTAGATTTTCGGCCCAGTTCTGAAAAATGAGGAACAACTGGCCATGTGCAGAGAAGGATGAGAAGTTGTATTGCTAGATTTTACACAGTAACTGTAATGTTTTATACTGCTATACCTGCAAATTGTTTGAAAAAGTTCCTATTTAAGCAAAGAAAGATAAAAGAGGGAGATTAACTGAACCTGGTGCCCTCAGAATCTGGTGCAGATATGCATAGTAACCAATTTCTAACTTCAGCTTGTTCAATTAGGCTTTGACAATAAAACTTAGAAGATATTTGGTTTTCTGCACAATTGTACCAGATTCTGTGTTCTCCAGTTTTAGTAACTTCCTTGCATAACAATGAAAGAAAGATAGGAAAGAGGAGATTACCTGCCCAGGTGTCCATTTGCTGCCACCTCAACATGCATTTTTAGAGAAAGGATTGTATGTAAAGTATCCAAGGATTACAGACCCTCTTGAACTCTGAATGTGTTGTCCTTCACCTAATGGTGTGTTTTTTTTTTTTTGTTTTTTTAATTTTACTTTAATTAAGCATTATCAGCTTGTGTCCTAAGAGATAAATCTATTACTGAATTCTTTTGTGTCTCTGCTTTTGCAATTTTAGTCACCAGGAGCATATAACAAATTAAGATTCGACTATATCTGGGAATATTGTCAATGGGTTCATTTAATAGGGCACGTTTTAATTTATTTGAAGGTCTACTGCTACTGGTGTGTGGTCATGGAAGGAAGGATAGAGGAATATTGGTAAAAGAAGTTAAGCAGGGAAAAAGGGATGGGTATGTAACGATGACCAAGCAAGAGAGACACGGCGTAAAGGTGTTTGGATATCCAGGTTGGGGAGGTGGGGCAGCACTTCAAAATTTAACCTCCATGCAATGGAGGAAAAAGTGAAGTGTTTGAAATTTGTGTTCCTGGCAGGCAAGAGGGGAAAAAAAAAAAAAAGTAAAGCTGGCTTTTTCCTGCAGAGATGGAGTTGGGCAGTATAGAAATTGGGGTGATTGTTGAAACCGCTGGCATTTGTATAACAGACATGAACAACACACAAGACCAAAAGTCATGTATTGAAGGGCATGTCCACTACATTTGCAGAATAGGTAGTGTCTCCCACATCTCCAGCAGGCCTTCAAATGGGAATGGAATGTGTGTGTTGTAAGAGGGCATTGGCACCAGTGTGTTAAGATTTTATAACTCTTCCTAGGCTGCAAACGCTACACCGGTCTTGTGTTAGAATGGACACTTTTTCTACATCATACTCTGAAACATTAAAACCCAAGCCTTTTTTTTTCCCCCCTCTCCCCCCTGTGCTGTAATGTAATGTAATAAGGAGTGTGGGAGTGTTGTGTGAGCAAGTAAAATAGTATTGAATTGTGAGATAAGGCCTTCTTTCTAAAGCCACAGGGCTTCAAAGTCAACTCTATGTAGTGAAAACTGGTTTGAGGGCAGAGTGATAAGCCCATGGAATTGTAAACATTGCAGCCAGCAGCACCCTGGAAGGTGGAGTAGGTTAGAGGTAAGGTTGGTGAATGGCTGTAGTTAATGTGCAATGCACTCATGATGGGAGACAAAGGGCCCCAGGCTCAGATAAGGTGTTCGCATATCCAGCCTCAGGGAATCATTTGAGATTCCCAGTAAAGCCTAGTACACACAGACCAAACGTCAGGCGGCATCAGCCGACATTGGGCCCATGTGTATGGCCTGCCAGTCCGACAGAAGCCTGCTGTTTGGCCAACTTCTGTCGAAGGAGTATGACTGAAAAAAGTCTACTGATCAGCACTCTTAGCCAATAGTTGAGAGTGCTGACTGGAGTGTTCTGGCAGTGGGCCCCCCCCTGTCAGAACACAATAGCACAGCAGGGGAGATCGCTGTAGTAACATTGGTTCGTTAGTACAGTGGCTCCTCCTGTGCTGTCGGGTTTTTTTTTTTTTTTCATTCAACCCACTGGGTTGAACGAAAAAAAACTAGTAGTGTGTACTAAGCTTTAAGGAGTTGGTGAGAAGCAGTGTGTAAAAGTTTTCAATGATGCAGTTTGGTGAGGGGAAGAATGTGATCTTTCTGTGAGTAGCAGCCAGTGGGGGAGCAACATGTGAGGGGGTAAAATTCTAAAAAGAGCCACAGTTTTACCTTCTCAAATATCCTGTCTAGGATGCTAATTTATGATAAAATTCCACATTTGAAAGGGGCTGGCCACAAATTTGTTTTTACCTAAGACATTATAGCAAAATCAGTCTGGGGTACAAATTGTATTTACCACATTAATGCCGAAAAATGCGGTCAGAAGTGCAACTGGTATGGTTTAAAACGTATATAAAAGGTAAGATGTCCATCTTGAACACTACATGTGGTCAAACCAAGAGTGGTGTTTAGAGGACCAGGGTGTGTACACTGATCAGAATGCTTAAAGTTCTATCTGAGAAAAAAAAAAAGTCAGCAGCTACAAAAACTGTGGCTGCTGACTTTTAAAATATAGACACTTACCTGTCCTTCGGTCCAGCGGTGTCCTCACCACCGCTGGTTTCACCGGACGTCTTCTCTCCCTGTGTGGGCACCCGGCTGTGACAGCTTGCGGCTTCACAGCCAGGTGCCCATTGCACATTTGCAAGAAGCGCTTCCCAGAAGACTACGGGGAGGGAGGACAACTGCTGCTTCCGATTGCCTAGGCGATCGCAGTGGGAGCAGGTTACCTGCGTAAACCCCCCCCCTGCTCCCCAAGGGTGCCAATCCTTAATGGAGAGTGAGGGACAAAGCATTAAAGCGAAACTTCCCCTTTTGGGTGGAACTCTGCTTTAAACTGGCAGAATGGCCTATGAATTGAAAATAGCCAGGGGGGCCATGGTACAATCAAAGCACTAAGATAATTACAAAAAACTCCTGCGCTCACAAGGACTCCTACTCTATAATCATAAGCTGCTGACACTAAACTTATACCCAAAATAAGTGAATAAACAGTGCAAAAATTATGAGTGCAGCGCTAGTTAATATCTAATATAAACGTAATACAATATATACTCAATCCCCAAAACAAATCCAAGATACTCAATACATATACAGTGTCATGCATGTGTTCCCTCATGGGGAATATCTCGTGCAAAAAAGTGAAAAGTAAAATTATATATAATAAAACAACATATATAATAATAAGTAGTGCCACACTTAAAGTGCACAAAGGGATGAACGAAAATTCAAATACGAGAAAAGTCCAAAATTAATAATAATAATGCTGATGATGCTGTGCTTAATGACGAGCTT